GGTTTAGCTACACGTGCATAGGAACGATGAGGTGTGGCTGAGGTGATGTCGGAGGTCTCACGGAAGTCGATGTGGGTGCGCTCAGGTGCTCTGACGATGACCTGCACGAAGATTGAGGTTAAGAATGGGTTTCCCGACCTAATCCCTATGACGCTCAAGTTACCCTCAAGGTGAGGTGAGGTGGAAGTGGTAAAAAGATGACTGGCCTCGATTCCTATGCCAAGTAAGAAGGGGAAAGAACATTCCAAGGAATATTCCCCAAGGGGACAACCCCAAATAACCTCTAATAGCCCCCCTTGGACTCTTGTCCATGTAAACAACAAAAAAGAGGGAGACAACCCGTGATCGCTTGCTTTGGACTTATGTCCACGTGGGCAAACAAACCAAGGGGGCAAGTATTGTCTCCCCTATGCCAACTTGGCTGCCACATGTAGATCACGTGTCGAATGATAATTGATCAACAATATTTCCTCTATCATTTGTCTCCTTTAAAGGTACACTTCAAGAGCTCTCCCTAAGAGGTTCGTAAACGCAGCCATGGATTATCTCAACACGTGTAACATGTAAAAGCGGAGGGGATGCTCAATGCATGGCCGACTTACATGCCTCAAGCTCTCCGAGGAGGTCAGATCATGCTTGACCGACTATGCACCTTGGGCTCTCCAAGGAGGTCAAGTCATGCTTGGCTGACCTATGCACTTCAGGCTCACCTTGGGTTCTCCAAAGAGATCAGGTCGGGTTTGGCCAACCTACACACCTCGAGCCCACCTCAGGCTCTCCAAGGAGGTTGGGTCGGGCTTGGCCAACCAATGCACCTCGGGCTCTTCGAGGAGGTTTAGTCGGGCTTAGCCAACCTATGCACCTCGGGCTCTCCGCGGAGGTCGGGTCGAACTTAGATGACCTATGCACCTTGAGCTCACCTTGGGCTCTCCAAAGAGGTATGGTCAATCTTGGTCAACCTACGCACTCCAAGAGTTTGGCGAGGTGGTGACCTCCTGAGACATGCTTTGTGCCATTATGTGATGCTCACCCCCGTGGGGCACATTGGTGTCATTGAGATGCTCACCCCTGAGGAGGGCGCATCGAGCATCTTCGAATGGACACCCCTTAGGGGCGCGTTGGGTGTCGTTGAGATGCACACCTCTAAGGAGAGCACATCGGGCATCTTCAAATACTCACCCTCGTAGGGCTACGCCTGTGTCGTTGAGATGTTCACCCCCGGGGCATGCCTTGTTGAGATCGATATAATCAACGAATATCCGTTAGGTTCCAGTAGATTTTTTAACAAATATAACATTGGCAAACCACTGAGGGTATTGCACCACAAAAATAAATCTAGCACCTAACCACTTGTCTACCTCATAACTGACAGCTTGTTGCTGGTTGAAAGCAAACTTCTGAGGCCTCTACTTCACTAGGCGCACCTCGGGTGAGATATTTAGGCAATGACTGCTCCTACCTCAGCCTCTTACACAACTCCTCGCGCTTACCCGAGACCATCGCCTAAGTGGCGATGTATTGGTTGGCCCTCTGGAGTGTCTCGAATACTATCACTGGTGGTCTCCCTATCAGGGACTAGAAGAGTCGAGAGGGCCTAAGCCCCATGATGAGCGATGGATAGGCATCGACTATGTCTTATATCTTGTTTATGAATCAGGCAACGAAATTCGAGAGCATCTCTTCCTTCCCCTTGCCGAAGTCCCAGGAGGGCTACTATCGAACACCGAGGCCATACATTCACGATGAAATGTTGCTCGAACTCTTTTGCTAATTAGCTAAATGAGCTAATCGAGAGTGGCTTCAAGTGGGCGTACCACTCTCACGCTAAGCCTCGCAGTGTAGTAGGGAAGGTGTGATACATCAGAGCATCTGTCGTGCTGTATAAGGACATACGAGCATGAAAAGCTACGATATGCTTGGTTGGGTCGACACAACTATTAAATGCCTCCAAGGTCGGGAGTCAAAAGTTAGCGGGGATAAGCTCTTCTTGGATCTTCTAAACGAATGGTGATCGACCCGAGTTGAGGTCGGTCTTCTCCCCTGATTAGTTGAAACTACTGATGCATGTCCTCCATGCGATAGTCTATCTACTGCAATTACACCCGAAGGGTGTTCTCTATGTAGTTTGTGGATTGCGCCTTGGACTCGAGTAAGACAGACCAAGAATGGTGAGGTCTGCTGAACTCTACGATCGAGGATCAGGGTGCCCCATCTACTGGGAGCTCGACGGGCCTCGGGCATCCTTAGGGGGTAAGCAACTCAGCGCCACATTAGGTCAGGGAATCTTAACGAGCGTCGATAGTACTGCTGACTGCGACGAGGCAGGAGGCACCGTCGATTAGACCAGCTCAGGCAGGAGCGGAGCAATGATATGTATCATTCCCATCAATGTCTATACTTATTAAGGTTTAGGAAGACCTTGACAGGGACGAGCATGTGGGTCAAGGTCGTCATTGGGGGAGAGAGACTTGAGTCGTTGAACAGACATCGATACCTCATCGAAGTCTGCACCGAGACAGAAGCGTCGAGGTTCAGAAACGCCGGGTGTTACCCCTTGTGAGTGAAAGTACTATGAGTCGGGAGTGGAGCCTCCTTGGTCAAACGCTCGTTAAGTGGGTTGACGAGCTGACGTTCCTACAACATGGCTCTCCTAGTGCCAAAATGTTCGGGGAAAATGTCGTTGACGTTCAAGTCAGCCCAACATGGTTCGGCTACACGTGCACAGGAATGATGAGGTGTCGTCGGTATGATGCTGGAGGTGTCGATGTGGGTGCACTCAAGTGCTCCGATGATGACCTACATTAAGGCCAAGGTTGGGAGTGGGTTTCTCAATCCAGTCCCTCCGACGCCCAAGTTAGCCCCGAGGTGAGGTGGAAGTGATAAAAAGGTGACTAACATCGATTCCTATGTCGGAGATAGACTTTTACACTAAGTAAAAAGAGGGCAAAATATTCAGGAAATATTCCCTGAGGGGACAATCTTTAATAACCCCTCTTGGACTCTTGTCCACGTAGACGACAAAAAAGGGAGTGACAACCCATAACTGCCTACTTTGGACTTGTCCACATGGGAATACCAAGGGGGCAGGTCTTGCCTCCCCTATTCTAACTTGGCTACCATATGTAGGTCATGTGTTGGATGATAATTGATCGACAATATTTTCTCAATCACCTCGCTAGTATAGATAAGTATGCCTAACTATTTTAATGTAAGATGCACATATTTCTGTAATAATGTGGGCATGAAAGTGGGCATCCTGCAACAATATCCATGGTCACATAGATATTGTTATGATTACATCTTTAGTAATAAATACATATACTGCCAGTTTTCTCTAGTTTTAAGAGATAGATCCATGGTGAAAGTGGGCATCCTGCAACAATATCATTGTTATGATTAAAGCATCAGTTCTATTGACAAACTCTCATGGACTAATTGAAGTAAATGGTGAGTTGAAGGCATCAGAAACTGAAGGACTAGAAACTAAATCTTACCGATAGTAATGTCACAGCCACCAAAGAACTCCCCATCAATGTAGAGCTGGGGAAAAGTAGGCCAGCTCGAGTACTCCTTCATCCCCTGACGCAGCATGTCATTCTCGAGTATGTTCAGCGTCTCGAAGGGCACATTCAGTGACTTCAATATCTGCACCACGGTGTTGGAGAAGCCACACTGGGGGAAGTCTTTGGTTCCCTTCATGAAGAGCACCACTTTGTGCGACTGAACAACCTTGTCGATTGTCGATTTCATCTCAGGACTCAACGCTGAAGCAAAATTAAAATCAAACACGTTGATCAACTCAAGACATCAAATATTAACAAAATATTGCAATTGATGACTAGCAATGATCGTTCAAACCCGAAAAAGAAGACGATTTTCCGGGTGAGAGGAGAAATCCGGAAAGAAAAAGGAAGTGAGGACCTAAGGAGCATGATCACAGGTCAAGGGTTGATCGAAAGGGAACGAGATCATACCGGAGAAGCACCGGGCGGAGAGGGAGGTCCCCGGGCTCTTGGATCGGAACCGCAACGGTTGAGAGACAAGCGTTGCGACGTTCCTTCTACGGGGTCCGGCGAGGAACGAATTCGCAGGCGGCTGAACGCGGCGAACGGCCGCGAGCGCCCTCGTGACTCCAATGGCTGTCCAAGAAGAAAGTGGAGCGAGCGAGGCCATCGTCGTCGGAACGCAAAGGTGGCGGCAGCAGCGCTTGGGACGAATCGGGAGGCAAATTAGCACGAATTCCCAATTCACATTCGTGTGCTGTGTTTAGGTCGCGGCGATCTTCTCTTTTCGTGTGCCCTCGATTTTATGCGGTCCAATTCACCTCATCATCTATACATCGCTGTTATTATTTATTCGGGGGCTTCTATATCGTTTGGAAATAGCATATATTTGCCCCTATATACAAATATTTCTCTAAATGTTAAATTAGTAGAGATATATTTATTGTTGTTATATTTAAAAAAAAATTAAAGCTTTCGATATAAGAGACTTTTATTCGCAACCCTTTTTACTATTTAGTATAATATCTTTAAAATTTGTAATATATATAAAATATCATTCTATAAATAAATATAAATATTATATATATATATATATTGTTGGGGCTCCCACAAGGGCCGCTAGTGAAAGCAAGAATAGAGATGGACTATCGCAATGTTCACAAGAAGATAAGGGAATTATGAACATAGAGAAGATAAGGGCATTGGAAGTGAATGGATGAATTAAGGAATTATGAGGAAGAAAAAAAATAAAATTGATAATAACGAGATTATAAATAATAATAATAAATATTATTTTTTAAAGAATTATCAATAGTAATGGGCTTATATAAAGACAAAATTAAAATATGAAATATAGTGTCAATTGAAATTGCTGATTTTTTAATTGATCCAAGAAATAGGCAAAAGAAAAAGTGTTTATTTTAGCTAATTAGAAAAATGAGAGTAAACTCGCGTCGCTATAAATTCCTTCTATCCGTCGACAAATTGCGTGGTATTATTATCCGCGATACATCAAAGTCCTCTTCCCCCAGAGAGAGAGAGAGATAGAGAGAGCGGCGGTCGGTCGATCGGTCCATGAAAGGGAACCAGGGCGCGATGGTGTTGGCTCCACCGAGCCCTCCCCCGGCGAACCCCGTCGCCCAGCTGCAGACGCGAATCAAGGAGCTGGAGACTGGGTTCCGGGCCTGGCTGGCGAAGCAGCCCACCGCCGTGGAGGCGGCTATCGTAACCGCCACCAGCGCCGCCCAGGGCGCTTTCATCGGCGCCCTCATGGGCTCTCTCACCTCCGACGCCTCCTCGGCCTTACCCACCCCACCTCCCAACGCTCCCGGCCTCAACCCCCAAGCCATGGCCTCCCTCAAGCAGGCGCAGGTTGCTCTTCCTTTCTAGTCTTCTTCAATTTATGTTTCTTTTTTGCAATTTGAAGTACATTATGATATGTTTTTATCCGTACTCCAATATGTCAGCGGAAATTTATAATATTGATGTGAAATCAGTATACTCATACTAGGTAATTAGTGCTCCTTTTTTATCCAATCCAGAAATATACTTTCGCAAAGTTCTTATTGTATTGGGTAATCATATATTACATGAAATTGGTTTGCTTCTGTTATGGTTGGAACTTGGAAAATGCTGATTCTTAGCATTTGTGTCGTTCTTATTCATCTTCTTGTGTCATTCTCTCAGCCCTTTCTGTCCTGTCACATTATATGTGCCATTTGGTAACGGAACAGAGACGCCATGTTGCACTCATACCCATACATACTTTTACTTGGAATCTCAACAACCTGACTCTGTTGCATGTGTCACAGGCTTTTGCAGGTGGCCCGTTAGTGCAAGCTCGTAACTTTGCAGTCATGACAGGTACTAATGCAGGTATATCATGTGTGATGAAGAGAATAAGAGGGGTGGAAGATATGCAAGGCAGGTGAGATCAATGGCAAACTTTTCATGTGTTTTGTTCAATCAATTTTTAGTTTATAGCATTTTTTCCAAATTCACTCAAGTTGGTTGGAAAGTAAAGATTCATATCTTGTGCTCCTGTGTTTAGCCCTTCTTTGCTTTGAATCAAGGAAACACAAATAACTATGCGTTGATCACTAGTCATTTATGCATATTATAGAAAGGATGTCACAATGCATGCATTTCTTGCCAATATGGGGTCTGTTAGTAACATATGCATGTTGATTTCAGATATTATAGCTATTGTTTGAATGCATAATCTTGGAAGTCGCATAGATGCAAAATTCCCACAAACATGTATAAAATGAACAGTTGAAAACAGTATTGTTGAAAAACAATGTCTTTAAGTAAAAAGCTGTTTGCTTCTATGTTAAGTCAAGCATTAAAATCTAACTTATTGATACCCAAAATAACCAATTTTTTGTCATCATACATATCATGCTATGATATGTTGAATCTAATGAGTGCGTGTGCGTGTGTGCACGCTGTGTATGGACTTACCACTGAGTTCCATCTTGTGCCTTGGCATGTGGCATGCATCATACTTGGGCATGCTGTAAGTTTGGAATGCCCCAAAATGCAATTTTCTGTATATGCGATCATGAATATACATGTGACTGTATGATTGCATTAGTGTTGAACATGTTGATATTTATGTTAATGTTGGAGATACTGGGGAATAATAAATTGTATGTCAACATAAGTGTGCTTTAATGACTGATTGATCTATTTGGGACGCACAGTGTTGATAGAGGGAATTCAGATTCATCAGGGGAAAGGGATGTATCAAAAAAAAAAGGCCAAACACCTAAATCAATGTGGCCTGTAGTTTTCATTATTGAGGTGTTTTTTTTTCTTAGGTGATTTACGGGCAATCCTAGTCTTGGTTGCTCCCTTATTAACTTTATCAAGAAAGATATTCTTATTGAGATCAGAAGCTGATCATAGCTTCAACCTCATAAAGGCTAATATGATGGGTGTGTGACAATCCTAGCACTTCCTGACTTAAAAGTCTTTAAAGAAGATTATGATGGCTAACATACTGGCGTCGGAAATCATGAAGGACATATTTGAGTTACTTGCCTTTGAGCTAGATTGTCAAATTTACTTCTTAATTTCACAGATATCTAATTAATATTTACAGAAACCTGAGGAATTCTTTGCATGTCAAGTATCAGAACTACAACATCTCCTGCTGTAAAGATTGGTTGCTTCTTACCACTATCCAGCTCTTAAAATATGCTTACATTATATCTCATTGATTTTCTATTCATTTCTCAGAGCATATTAGGTTCTAATAAGTAGAAAATCACCTTATATAACATCTTGGCTGTTTCTTCAATAAATTCAATACTTTATATAGTAATATTTTTGCTATAGTAATCCTCAGAAGCTCTTACAGTACTAGTATTTTCAGTCCTGGTTAATCTATTATGCTACATGTTGCTTCAAGGTAGCATGTTTTATAAGTTCTGATATTAGCCAGTGATAGCATGGTAGTATCTTAATCAGGGGATATAAGGAGATATAGCTTTGATGATCTTGTCATCTGCAAGAATAATGGACCATACAGATGCCATATAAGTTGATCAATACTGATGAAAAAGAGGGATAAGTACCGTTCAGCTCTGTTTATGTACTCCAAATTGGCTTTTATTCTGGTTCATCTTGCAGCATGGCAGCAGCTTTTGGTTCTGGAGCAATGTTTTCATTGGTTAGTGGCATGGGAGGACCAAATCAAGCTCTTAATGCGGTTACTTCAGGACTATTTTTTGCACTTGTTCAAGGTGGACTTTTCAAGGTATGAAAGCATAGGTGAAATTTATGATGTTGTACTAAGTTTTAATTACCTACTGTCATTGGTGATCCCAGCTACAGTTAATCCATGTAGAAATCAGTAGGTGAACTTATCACCAGATCTCTGCTTTGGTTTCTTAAGGAAAAGTCTAATGTATACTGAACATGATGCTGCTTTAGTTCAAACCGACTGTGGAATTATGCATTTCTAGACCGTATAAGAAGTGGAATTTCAGTACGTTGCAAATAAATTTCCTTGATGTGCGGATTGATCAATTAGAAAATAATATAACATAATTTTCGTTCCTTTATTTTTATTCTAAAGCAACATGAAGGCTGTGTATGGCAGATCAAATAAATGATATCAACGTTACAAACAAAATTAAATGATGATATGTGCTAGCTTCGTTTTGATAGTTATGATATCATTCTTGGTTATTGATAATTTCGGTACTTGCCATAACAAATAAACTGATGCCAACTTGAGCACTATTAGCATGTTTGAAATCACTATCAAGAATATCTGACTGGTCAAATATGCATTTCCGCTTTACTTTTTCCTTTCCGATAAAATTGCAGATAGGTGAGAAATTCTCACAGCCACCAGTTGATGACGTGTTATACTCTGGCACAAAAAGAATGCTAACAAACCTTGGCCTTCAGAATTACGAGAAGAACTTCAAGAAAGGCTTACTCAGTGATGCTACTTTACCCCTTCTCACAGACAGGCAAGAAGGATGATCCAGCTCTCCTACATTCTCTAATTACTTGAACAAGTTCCTTTTGCATGAAAACGTCGCACTGTTCTCTAATTCTTTCTTTTTGTATGTATGTTCCAGTGCACTCCGAGATGTCAATATTCCACCCGGGCCAAGGCTTCTCATTCTTGATCACATTCAGAGGTGAGCCATGTGACTAAATGTATCACTGGAAGGTTTTTTCTGGGCTTCAACTGTTCTATCCAGATTCATGATCATGCTTAATCTACTTGGCAGGAACCCTGAGTTGGTAAAAAGGTGATGAAGTTATAGGCAACATTGCTCTTCAAAGTTATGTTGACAAAGTAATCAGACCAAACTCGGTTGACTGTGCCCGGCCCTTGTTTAAATGAACTTAAATTTGACTGTCACAGTTTCATGAGATTTGCAACTCACCGGTGATTATATTAGGGATGAATTTTGACTATCCAAATTTTGTTCTCAAATACTTCGATACTTTTGAAGAAGATAACATCCTATTCTGCTTCATGTCAAATCAACAGCTTTACTTAGATCAGGTCATGTTCGAGGCATGCATTATTTCAACCTTTTTCGTTATGACTACAATGGATCATAAACACCAGATTGGATGTTGATGACTAAGGTAAGTAATTGCATCTTTTAGTTAATAATGTTATTGTTCATGTTCTTTTTGTATCTTACCTGATTAATCTCAAACTCTTTCCATAATACTGTGTAATCATAATTAGCTTTATTTTTCACTAACTTGACTTCAATTATCATATTACATCCATGTGCATGACCATTATTAATTAAAATTTTAGGTATACTAATTTCACGGATTTTTTAAGTATGGTCAATAAATAAAAAAGTAGGTGAATGTAATCATAAATTATCTTTCTATTGGAGTAAATGACATAAGTATTTTTGAATAATTGTTGAAGAATTAGTTCAACTTGAAATTACATCAATGATTGAGGGATCATTGAAGTAGGGTGTCTTTGAGAACACAGTTGAAATGTGAATTGGTAATTAATTTTTTTAAAAAATTTCAATGAATCTAGTTGGAACATAATATTATAAATGTTTAAATGTTGTTATCTTAGCATTTCAGTATTTAATATTTATAAAATATTTGTAATATCCCTGATTAATCTCACGTCGAAAGTGGACAAGATTAAAATTAATTTATAAGGGTATGATGAGTGTACTACTATCAACTTCAGCTTAAGCATTTTGGTCAATGGTTTAGACCAAATGAAGTTGATAGGCTAGTTAGCTCATCAGGCTCGGGTCATGACAATATTAGTATTTTTTAAAATAATTTAAAATATTTTTTTATATTATTTAATAGTATAAGATTATTATTATATTATATAATAAAAATTTTAATTTTAATTTTTTTTCTTTCGATTTTTGTCGAAACCTTGTTTTGATTGAAGCATGGCGTCTGTGACCAGAACAGACACGGCGGCCGGGTTCATTGTCCCCAATGCACTGACTTCAAAGCAGGCTTGTAAAAAGACCAGAACCAGTGGAATGGTTCAAACTTACGTTTCTTAGGTCGTATTTCTCGTCATTTTTTCATTTATTTTTGTCCAGATATCTCATTAAAAAAAGTTAATATATGATGAGATGCTGACTTATGTATTAAAGCTGACAATCTCCGATAAAGTTAAACGGATTGATTAGGCGACAGAAAAAGAAAAAGTCATTATCATCCTCAAAATGACACTAAAATACCACTTGTGACATGGTGGTTGGGACAGCCTGAGCCTAAAGCATAAAAAAGATTACGTCACAATTTATGGCTGGCACGACTTTAGTCACGCGGATAAGGAGCGCCTGTATCGATGACGTGGCTTCTCCCTTGCGTGTGCCACGTCGGTCCATCGCCACTTATGTCAGCACTACTCGGGAACGGTATGCCTCCCTAGTCGAGACTCAAGACACGAAAAACCGCATCGGCGGAGCGATCGATCGATCGATCGAGCTTCTATATAAGCCCCGAACGCCCCTTCCACCTCGCATTCGTCTCTGTTACGCGCTCAGAGATCCTTGGATGGTGAATGAGCTCCTCCCCTCGTACCGGGACGCGGCGCAGCCAGTGGCGTCGCGCGTGCGGGACCTACTCTCACGCATGACATTCAGGGAGAAGGCCGCCTCGATGGCCCAGATCGAGCGCAGCGTTGCCTCCCCCTCCTCCCTCTCCGGCCTCTCCGTCGGGAGCGTCCTCAGCGGCTCCGGGGATCGCGCCTCCCCCAGCGATTGGGCCGACATGATCGATCGGATGCTTCACTGGGCTCTGGCCTCCCGCCTCGGCATCCCCATCCTCTACGCCTCCGATTCCGTCCACGGCCACAACAAACTCTACGGCGCTACCATCTTCCCCCACAACGTGGCCCTCGGCCCCACCAGGTCATCTGCTCCCTCTCTCCTCCTCCTCCATGGATTGTTCTTGTACTATAACAACACGTCCTCGCGTCGATCACAGCGACGGCGACCTGGCTCGCAGATTTGGTACTTCTTGTGGAATCGGGGAGGATAACCTTGTCAAGGATCGACGATGCTGTAGAAAGCATCCTGAGGGTTAAATTTGTGGCTGGACTATTTGAGCACCCTCGATCTTTGTTTGATGTTGTTGGCTGCAAGGTATGCTTGACTAATCACAATAAAGTTAGAAATAGAATCATGGTTAGTTTGATTAACAATTTATATCATTCTAAATCAAAGTAAATAAAAAATTATATATATATATATATATATATATATATATATATATAGTTTGATTAACAATTTATATATTTTATTATTATTAAATTATATAATAATAATCATATCTAACGGTGTGTCCTGTGGTCATTATGAGGATTAATGGCTCTTCTTAATCACTGTATTCACTTATTAAGGCTCAGTTTTCATATCTTTACATCAATTCTTGTCAGGAACATCGACTACTAGCGCGTGAAGCAATCAGAAGGTCCTTAGTTTTGTTAAAGAATGGAAAGGATCTGAAGAAACCAATGGTTCCTCTAGATAAATATGGCAGAAGAATCCTTGTTGCTGGCAGACATGCTGATGATATTGGGTGCCAGTGTGGTGGATGGACTGTATCGTGGCAAGGAAGCAGTGGAAAAACAATGATCAGTAGGTTATTTTCTAATTTGTTGCTGGAAAGTTCTCCTTCTCGATTGAGACATGAAATAGGCTTTGACCCGGACATTCTCAAACAGAGTAAATGAGTTCATGGCAATCTTCTATTTGCAGGCACGACTATGTTGGAAGGAGTCAGAGATGCAGCAGGAAATGAAACAGAAGATATATGCGATACATCCCCTTCTGAAGCCACTTTATGTGACCAGGAATTCTCATATGCAGTAGTTGCCACTGGGGAGGATGCCCATGCAGAGTCCTCAGGTGACAGAACAGAGCTCGGCATACCCCCTTTCGATGGCGCCAGTACGGTGTCGCTGGTCGCCAGCAAAGTTCCAACGGTGGTGATTGTGGTATTGCGTCGGCCATTGGTGTTCGAGCCGGAATTGTTGGAGAAGATTGATGCCTTGTTGCCTGGAAGCGAGGGACGGGGCATTGCTGATGTCCTGTTTGGAGGTCACGACTTTGAAGGCGTGCGTGCAGCCTGTAACTTGGTTCAAGTCAGTGGATCAGTTGCCCGTGAATGCTGGGCACATGTTGTCACTGACACATGGATTGAAGATGAATCCGGGCAAACGAAGCTGATGGAATTGTCCTTCACGTCTCCATTATATCGATATTTCTTGTAAGTAGTAATTTCCAGCTCTGGAGCACGAGGAGTTGTACACAGCTCTTAACCTAGAGATGCTGGAAGTATAATGTCAGAACGAAAGTAAATCTACAAGCCAGGCATTGTATTTGGATGGTGTGGCTGAAAGCTATAGAAAGATATAGATATATGCATTGATGGTAGATAATAAAAAAAAATTGAGTACTACGGAACTGAGAGTTTGAGGATAAATTTAAAACGAAAAGAATATTTGATGATATATTTAAAACAACACCTTTTATTGAAGAATTATCCAATTTAATTGAGGATCTATTTAAATATATTAAATGATCTATTTAAAATTGCACCTATTCTTGGAGGATTATCCAATTTAATCGAGGCCCTCGTGTCGCGATGCTGATGGAATGTTGACCTATGGTGAGGAGGCGGTCGTGTTCTAACTCGACACGAATATCGATTACGTGGGATGCTGTCTTGCACGTGCCACTAAAGTCGCGATTTTAAAAACGAGTCTCCTTGTTGGCCGTAGCGTCGATGGTACCCGGATTGACGTGGATCTATATTGGCGAGGAATGGTTGCGACGACTTTAGTTACGACCGAAGTTCCGGCATGAGGGTGTGTGACCGGGTCGGGGTCACTGGAGTCCATATTTAAGTCGGTGCGTAAGTCGTCGCTAAAGGGACAGGGACGACTTTGTATATTCCACTGTGCGGATTCGGCCTGCTTGTTTTCGGAGAGGGCGAGGGAGCGGCTGCGCCTGCATCTTTGTATACTCCTCGTCTTCCCTTGTTGTCTCTCCAAGATTCTTGGATGGCGAATGAGCTGCTCCCTCCGTATCGGGACGCGACGCAGCCCGTGGAGTCGCGCGTGCGGGACTTGCTCTCGCGCATGACCCTCAGGGAGAAGGCCGCCCAGATGGCCCAGATCGAGCGCTGCGTCGCCTCCCCCTCCGCCCTCTCCGGCCTCCCCGTCGGGAGCGTGCTCAGCGCTGGCGGTAGCGCTCCCAGGGAGCGCGCCTCTCCCCGCGACTGGGCCGACATGATCGACCGGATGCAGCACTGGGCTCTGGCTTCCCGCCTCGGTATCCCCATCCTCTACGCCTCCGATGCCGTCCACGGCCACAACAACCTCTACGGCGCCACCATATTTCCCCACAACGTCGCCCTCGGCGCCATTAGGTCCTCCACGCCCTCTTTCCTCTTCTTCCTCCTCCATGGAAATGTTCTTGTGCTTTAACAATACGTCCTCGTGTGGATCTCAGAGACGGCGACCTCGCTCGCAGAATTGGAGAAGCGACGGCCTTGGAGGTGAGAGCTACCGGCATCCACTGGACGTTCGCCCCTTGTGTGGCTGTAAGTGTCATCAAATCAAGAAGTTCTCTCTTTTAGTTATTGTATGTATGACTATGCTGCAGTCCACGAATGAAGGAATTCTTGATTTGTTCCGTAGGTCTGCAGAGATCCCAGGTGGGGGAGATGCTATGAGAGTTACAGCGAGGACACAGATATTGTCCGGACTATGACTTCGATTGTTGCGGGATTGCAGGGATCACCTCCCCTGGGTCACCCTCCAGGTCATCCTTTTCTTGCTGGGAGGTAAATAATCTGCCGAGGCATCAAGGGTCAACATCAACTCCTGTCATAATATACTGCAGGACCAATCTACTCTTAATTTTTCTTTAGGGTTTTCAGACATGCCTTGCTGTCTCTGATTTTGATAGTTGTAAAAGTTCTTGTAATCTGCAACCTATGGGTCCGAAATCCCCCATTCATAAACTATTCATGGCTTTGTTTCTTGATATTCTTGTTCCAATTGCAGGAAGAATGTGATTGCCTGTGCCAAGCACTTCATTGGGGATGGGGGCACAGATAAAGGAAAGAATGAAGGGAATACAATTTGTACGTTTGAGGAGTTGGAGGCAACTCATATGAAGCCTTATCTCGACTGTCTTGCACAGGGAGTCTCCACAATTATGGCATCATACACTAGTTGGAATGGGAGGCCATTGCATTCAAATCATTATCTTATAACAGAAATTCTAAAGGGCAAGCTAGGTTTCAAGGTACCAATGTTCACTGCTACAGGATTATCTAGTCTTATTTGTTACTCAAGTCACAAACACAAGAACAAAGGATATTGGTGTCAACTATGTTTGCATGTTTGGTCTGTTCTTGAATTTTAGTTTCTTGAAATACTTTTCATTCATTTTGGACCAAATGTTAGCAATTGTGGATAAATAAACTTCTCCTTATTATTTTGATTTCAGGGTTTTGTGATATCAGATTGGGAAGGAATAGATAGGCTATGTCAACCACATGGATCGAATTACCGTTATTGCATTTCTGCTTCAGTTAATGCTGGAATCGACATGGTGATGATTGAAAGAAATATACAGTACATTCAGCAACTTTTATCTTTATTTGCCTACTAACAGTTGTACAGATTATGGTGCCCCACAGATATGAGAAGTTTTTAGAAGATTTGGTATTTCTAGTGGAATCCGGGAGGATATCCATGTCAAGGATTGATGATGCTGTAGAACGCATCCTGAGGGTGAAATTTGTTGTTGGACTATTTGAGTACCCTTTCTCTGACAGATCTTTGTTTGATGTTGTTGGCTGCAAGGTAAGCTTGATGAATCGCAATAAAGTTTGAAATAGTAAAGCAAAAAACATGTATGTCTTTGTGCCACCAGCTTCACCTTTTTTTAACTTCTTTTGTCTTAAACTTCATCAACGACTTAAGATATTAATCATCTTTTAGATGAACTAACTAAAAAGATAAAAAATGATATAAGAGACTAAACAATGAGTACAATTCATCAAAATGATAGCAATGATATATTCAATATGAAAACAGATATACCAGTCATAGAAAATAGCCAATACATATTGTTAAATGAAAATGATGTATAGTCTATTGTTCCTTGTTTAGGTTTCTTCCGGAAATTTACAAAAATTCAAGCTTATTAGGCCACCATTAAGCACAGGATAAAGAATGAGTTCATTAACATGTAGTTCATGTTGTCTCATTATTAAAGAATAATTATGGTAATAATAGTGTGCAACCTGATGGATATTAGAAGTTTGGCCACATGTGAACTATAGTTCCAGCAGAAAACTTCGGCAAAGCAGTTTTGTAAAGGCTTCAAATAAGAAGCTCAGAGGCTGTATGAATTAGTAAATTCTTGGCATCATTTATCTGCATAAAAAAATCCTTCTTGTATGTTCAGGGCCTTCCACTTATTAGTGATATGTGCTACTATTGTTTCCTTAATGTGGGTGTCTACATAGTTTTGTGAACAGGCCTATCCTTTTATCTCTTTATTTAATCATTAATCACCATAGAATTTTTTATTTACTTTTTGTTTCTTTATATCATATTTTTATCAGGAACATCAAATTCTAGCACGTGAAGCTGTTAGAAGATCCCTAGTTTTATTAAAAAATGGAAAGGATATAAAGAAACCAATACTTCCTCTAGACAAAAATGCCAGAAGAATCCTTGTTGCTGGGACACATGCTGATGATATTGGATATCAGTGTGGCGGATGGACCATAACGTGGCATGGAAGTAGTGGAAGAATAACAATCGGTAGGTATGTTTTGATTGGTTCGGAAAAAATTTCCTTTACCATATTTTATTTCTTTTCTTTGATTTGGCCTTTGACAGTTTATGGTAACTGGATATTTAAAAACTTCACTGTATTTTGGTCTGTCATGCATGTCTATTGCTTAAGCATACACAACATAATGATTTGGTAAAAGCTTTGTTGCATGTCTTAGCAATGACAGAATCTTTTTCTTATAGTATTTCTCTGTCCCTCCTCCCTGAATATCCTCATCTACTATAACTATTCTCTTATCTACCACAGACAAATTTTCTAATCTTCAACAGGTACCAAGTGGTCGGCCAAATAGTTTTAGGACTTCCTTTATGGTAGCCTAAGCCTGTGAAGCTGAAAGTTGTCTTGCAATATGTTTGTCTGATGTTGTGGTCTCCAACTAGTCAATGGCTGGTCGATCCACATAAACTGCAAAAGCTGAATTTTGTGCATATGTGTGTTCTTGTACTGCATAACAAGAGAGTTTTAGTAATAATATACATCACATAGAAGACTTGCATACATTTGTCCCGGGTTTAAACATAGTTTGGCAGGTTAAACTAATCCGTAACAAAAACAGCCAAATATAGCAGGTATTTGTTATTTTCACTATGGATTATTGGACAAAGTAACTTGTTAAACATGATTTTTCTTTGCATCATCTTGCACAAGAATTTGAGGGATCTTTTTGAGGAAAATGTTGATGACCTATGTCATCTACCTAAATACAATAGGTCATATCAAACTACATACTGAGGCTGTTTATGTTTCTTGGCGGGGCTTTATGGCAGATGAACTGAATTCTAGTTAAGATTGCTATTTCAGATGTTCATGGTGCCAAATTGTCTTCACTTCAAAAATATGTAGTCTTGAAGGTTTATAATATCAATAATACAGTACAGAGAGCGGAACTCATTAGCAGCATCTGACAGATACATTCCAGAGAATATGATAAACAAGAGACAATATTTAATAGGCATCACATAGAACAGAACTTTTGAGTTGTTCATGTCGATTATTGAAGTTCTTCTTGGCGCAAAATGACTGGCATGCACTTGTGACATTTTGGTGAATTGTTCTTAAAGGCTATAATGTCTGCATTTTCTGGGATGGATCTGTTCAAAGTCAAAAGTAATGAACTCTACAAACTGGCATGCCCCAATTTGGAACCAAATGATATAGTGTTAGATAGGCTTGCCTTTGCATGATGATACATGCATGGTTGTTTCTTTGCAAATTAATCCAGTGAATTGTTGTTTTTGAGGTAAGAAATAATTGATATTTTTGTCATGTTCAAGTGATCATACAGTGTAACATACATGTAGTTGCTTTCCTCGAGTAACACATGGACTGATTTGTCAGAATATAGAAAACAAACGAGCAGTTATCGTTCATGACTTGTTCTTTTATGTTGGAAGCCATGCCATATTTTGTATCCTCGCCACAATTTGATTCTCAAGCTCAGCTTTCTTAATTTCAATGGAAGGTTTTATCTTTTCTCAATGTCTATGAGTTGAACATTATCAATGGAGTAAATAAGTTCAAGCCAATTTTACATTTGCAGGCACAACCGTGTTGGAAGCAATTAGAGAAGCAGCAGGAAATGAAACAGAAGTTGTATACGAGAAATGCCCATCTGAAGCCACCTTTTCTGATCGGGAATACTCGTACGCGATAGTTGCCATTGGGGAGGATGCGTATGCAGAGTTTTTAGGTGACAGAACCGAGCTTGGCATACCATTTGATGGTGCCACTATGATCTCTCTGGTTGTAGGTAAGGTTCCCACGGTGGTGATTGTGATATCAGGTAGGCCATTGGTTTTTGAGCCAGAATTGTTGGACAAGATCGACGCCCTGGTTGCAGCTTGGTTACCTGGAAGTGAGGGAGGGGGCATTGCTGATGTCCTATTTGGAGATTACGACTTCGAAGGTGTGCTGCCCATAACTTGGTTCAAGTCAGTCGACCAGTTACCGATGAATGCTGGGCACAATGCCTATGATCCCCTGTTTCCACTGGGATATGGGCTGAAGATGAATCTAGACAACAGAAGCTGATGGAGTTGTCCTTCAGGTCTGCATTCTACGATGTTCCTTCCTGTATCGTGATTTATTTCCAAGTACATTTGTATTGATAACAAATGTAGCCCCATGCAATTACCAGCTCTGAAGCAGGACGATTTGTTTTCTCAAGCACAGAGCCACATATATAATAAACCTGCAAACCAGGCAGGTATTGTATTTAGATGATGCTAAACTCCATCCTTGTGGTGTCAAATAAGTTTTAATCTCATCAATTTGGTTTGATTCGCATAGGAAGAGAGAATAAAGAAGGGCCCGTGATTGATAATTATAATCGGTTTTATTGGTACCGTCTCTCACTGCTAAGCGTAGGAACGCGTGCCATCTCCCGACGGCTATCATCAGGACATCAATGTCTTCTCTGGAAGCGTGTCCTCCTTCAATTCTTCAAAGACAGCAGCGAACTACCAACAGTGTGGTGATCGGTATCAATTTTGTTTGGTCTCGGAAGAAAGCTTTCCTTCTACTAATTATGAACAGCCATCTCTCGTTAACAATAGAAGGGCGTGCAAGAGCCTCTAATTTCCTCTGGCGTATTTGTCAAGTGGTTGGTCTTTATAAACCCCTTCGCGAGCTCATCAGACTCGAGAGAGACGGTGAGTGCCTGATCGTCGGAGCAGGAATAGAGAGAGAGAGAGAGAGAGAGAGAGAGAGAGAGAGAGAGTTTCATCTGCCCAGAATCTGTTCGAGGTATGGTCGAAGATTAACACTCGTCTCGTACAATTCTTCCTCATTTCCAGTGTGTGTGTATGTGTGTTGATCCTTGTTGATATTATTATTAATGCTTTTATGCAGGTGAAGTATTATTATTCATAAGGATCGCTTCAAGCCGATGGGGGAAGGCGAAGATATATACACGAAAGATGGAACGACTGATCTCCATGGGAACCCTGCGATCAAGAAGGACACTGGAAATTGGAGGGCTTGTCCCTACATTCTTGGTACGGTTCTCTTGTTCTCGTAACCATGTATGTGCTTTGTGCAGCCAGCTACTGTATAAATTTTCATGTCGTGCTGCCTGTCTCAGCAAACGAATGCTGCGAGAGGCTGGCATACTATGGCATGAGCACCAACCTGGTGAACTACATGAAGGATCGTCTCCACCAAGGGAATGCTACTGCAGCAAACAATGTCACCGACTGGTCCGGTACATGCTATGTCATGCCACTCCTTGGGGCGTTTATAGCTGATGCCTACGCTGGACGATACTGGACGATTGCCAGCTTCATGATCATCTACATCTTGGTGAGGAACTCGCATCCCTTTGATTCTTGTGCTGGAGGCCTCACTCAGGTTCTGGACACTGTGATCTACTCGACTGCAGGGTCTGACGCTACTGACGTTGACTGCATCAGTCAAAGGCCTGGAACCTACTTGTCACAGTGGCGTCTGTGATCCAACGAGAGCACAAACTGCGGTGGTCTTCACATCCCTTTATCTTATTGCACTGGCGACAGGAGGAATCAAGCCATGCGTCTCCTCCTTCGGCGCTGACCAATTCGATGAAACGGACGAGTCGGAGAAGAAGAGGAAGAGCTCCTTCTTCAACTGGTTCTACTTCTCCATCAACATAGGCTCGCTGGTGGCTGCTTCTGCGCTGGTATGGATACAGACGAACGTGGGGTGGGGGTGGGGGTTTGGGATCCCGGCCGTCGCGATGGCTGTTGCGGTCGTGAGCTTTTTCTTGGGCACACCATTGTACAGGCACCAGAAGCCAGGAGGAAGCCCTCTTACACGTATTGCCCAGGTTATGGTGGCATCCTTGAGGAAATCTGGAGTGAAGCTACCCGCAAATAAGTCACTGCTGTATGAAATCACACGGGAATACTCTGCCATACGAGGTAGCCGCAAAATGGATCACACGGACCAATTGAAGTAAGTCCACTGGAACTACTACTCCTTTGATATGATGGCGGTTTCTGATCTTAGTGTTCTCCGTCTCTGCTAATTAAGCTTTGCTTTGTGGGATCCCCCAGGTTCCTGGACAAGGCTGCAGTGCAGACTCAAGAGGACAGGATCAACGGCGCGGTGAACCCATGGAGGCTGTGCACGGTCACCCAAGTCGAGGAGCTGAAGAGCATCGTGCGCCTCCTCCCCATCTGGGCGAGCGGCATCGTCTTCTCCACCGTCTACAGCCAGATGGGCACCATGTTCGTGCTGCAAGGCAACACCCTGGATCGCCACATGGGCCCCCGCTTCGAGATCCCGTCAGCCTCGCTCTCCATCTTCGACACCATCAGCGTCATCGTCTGGGTTCCCATCTACGACCGCGTCGTCGTTCCGGTGGCCCGAAGGTTTACGGGTCGGGAGCGGGGCTTCACCCACCTGACGCGCATGGGCGTCGGCCTGGTGATCTCCATCTTCGCCATGTCGTCCGCTGGCGTTCTCGAGGTCGCGAGGCTCCGGGTGGTGGCGCGGCACAAGCGGTACGATGGTGTCTATGTTCCCATGTCCGTGTTCTGGCAGGTGCCTCAGTACGTCATCGTGGGGGCAGCCGAGGTCTTCACCTTCATCGGACAGCTGGAGTTCTTCTACGACCAGGCGCCTGACGCGATGAGGAGCATGTGTTCCGCCCTGTCGCTCACCACGGCGGCGCTCGGAAACTACTTGAGCAGCTTGCTTGTTACCATCGTCTCACGCATCACCACGAAGAACGGGAAGCCCGGATGGATTCCGGACGACCTCGACCGCGGCCACCTCGACTATTTCTTCGGGCTCCTGGCCGTCCTCAGCCTCGTGAACTTTGGCGTGTATCTTGTGATGGCGAAATGGTATACCTACAAGAAGGCAATAGATAATGAGACGAAGGCAGAAGCACCTAATGACATGTGATGTCGATGGCACCTATTGTCAATCAATGCTTTTTTTTTTTGGCTCCATGGAGCAAATATGTTTTTAGTTACATAACGAAATCTTGATATGCTTTCGACTTTTAGTTTGCTGTCTGTCACACAGCGAAATCTTGATATGCTTTTTAATTTACATCAAGAATTTTAAACAAGAGGATATCAACCAACCTTGAGAAAAATACCTCCAACCAAGCAATGTTTTCTCAAGTTCAGTTTTAACAGCCACAAGTTAGTCGACAAAGCGCACCTCATCAAGATATGTTAACCAATCATCATTCGAAATCTGTGCATCTTTCCTCACTAGCCAAACTCGAAAAACACAGCCAGGTATTTTTTAACCAATAAATACGTCATAATCTATTTAAACAACATGATTTGAGCAGCAAAATTTGCACAGGAGATTATCCAAGGCGAGATTGTGGAAAAGACAACCTGCCTGCAATCACGGGCATTTCCAATTTTCTCCAGCATAGATGGCGTGGTTTCCAAGTTCTTCCTCAATTCTAAGTAGCTGCAGTGTTGGAAAAGAAAATGTCAACATACACACTAAATAAATATTAGAACGCTGCTATCTGGCGTAATTTTCAAACAAAAAAGAAGTCAACATAGTAGCTTGTAATAATCCACTTCCAATTCAACAGAAACAATCCTTGATTCGATGAAATCTTAGAAAATAATAGACACATTAGTAAATTAATGGAATTATGAAAAACATAAATGATAAGATGCATAATAGCAGGAGACCCATTTTAAAGCAAAAAATCTTTCTTTAACAAAGGCTCAGCATGTGGTTGGTTGGTATCTATCCTAGAAAACATGCAAACTCCTCATTATGGCAACAACTATTTGCTTTGCGCAAAAAGGCACAAAGCAATATATGCCCATTGGTAGTTTAATTAAAGTGGCCCAATCTTAGTGTTCATAGTCAACATCTTAATGGTTGAAATGAGCCACATTAATATGATCTTCTTATTTATTAGGAACGGACCAACCTGATTGTATTTTGCAAGCCGCTCACCCCGACAAGGTGCACCAGCTTTTACTTGACCAGTGGCAAGCCCAACTGCTAAATCAGCAATGAATGTCTCTTCGGTCTCTCCAGATCTATGAGAAATGATGACTCCCCATTGAGCATCCTTTGCTTGCTTAACAACTTCTATAGCCTCTGTGACAGTACCAACCTGATTTACCTGTATCATAATCCAGATCCAGAATAATCATATCAAGCTTATGAGATTAAGAATTCAACAAACAATCATTTACGTCAGTCGAGGTACATCCTAGTTTTGATTCAATTTCTTTTTCTGATTCGATTAATGCAATTGTTTGAAATTAACCATATTAGGTCCTTAATCAATTTGTCAAGTGAATTCAATTCTAAAATATTGGTATTGCTAATTTTCCTGATCTAAGGCTTATATTTTTGAACAGCCATGACAAAAATCAATGTATGGTTTGTTAATGCCACCAACTTTTACCCAAACCATTTTTGAACTACATTTAAAGAAAGTAAACTATCCAAGACAGTTATTATACTTCTATCATAGACATTGCTAAAGCCATGTGCGTGCTCAGATCAGCAGGTTACCTTGAGAAGAAGCGCATTGCAAGTATACTCATTTACTGCCCGCTCAATGCGTTTAGGATTTGACATCAATAAGTCATCTCCAACTACCTGCAAAATGTTCTATCAAGAGCTGTTCTTTATCTTTAGCCCAGAAGTACTCGGAACAAGGAATGCACCTGGCATAACCCCAAGGCAGAGAACAACTTTGTGTGTTCCCAGTCCTCCTTGTCAAAGGGCTGCTCAATAGAAACAATTGGATATTCTAGTAGAAATGTAATTTGTCAATTAGATCAATGTTGCTTTCCATAATTTCAATAGTGACCTAAAAATAATCAACAAGGCAGATGACTTACCTGTACACAGCTTAGTATACAACTCGAGCATATCTTCCCCTGTTTTGAAATCTTGTCCTGATTTCCCTGGTGTTTTGAAGTCTAAATCATACTTCTTTCCTGATAAGAGCAAAAATATTTTTAGTTGTCTACTGACATCATAATGCACCTGGTGTCACATTAAAATAGCAACCAATCACAAACTACACATAGTTCGGATAATTCAAATGAATGGTTAAGGAGCAACTGCTCATTTATTATTTCTCCACACTAAATTTTTTTCCTGATATATTTTGCATTTTGAAATCTAACATGTTTCATTGCAGAATAAATCAATTAAATAAATCATTTATGCACATCGATATCTGAAATTTAAATTTAGGCACATTGACATCATGTTTCATGATGCCGTTATTTCCGATAACAGGAAACACTGAACAAAATTAACATGCCATATTTGAAATTTAAATAGATAAAATGGAACTAAGTTTCTTGCATTGCATTTACCGATGCAAAAATCAGTAGCACCAACATCTATTGCCATCTTAATTCTTCCATTATATCCTGCTCTGTCGATTGCCTCCTTAACAAGATCCAAGCACTCCGTGATGCTGATGCCCAAAAAAACAATTAGCTGGTCCAAATAAGGTCTAAGAGAGAACAAATTTACATAGCAAGTAGAATATTCAGGTCTACGTAAGGACAATTGTGCCAATCAGAATGTGATGGCATGAATCAAGATGTATTGTGGCAGAAATGTAATCAAATGTACTATGCCAGCCGGTGCCTAAGGCATTCAATTATGTCTAGACTAATTTTTGGTCTATGTTGATTAACATAGGGGCATGCCATCTGGCAGAGCACAGTATTCTACCATGCCAAAAAGGTATTGGTACATCCTTGTGCTGTGAAACAACTATCCTTGAGCCAAAAAAGATCTTCAGAAAAACCACCATGCACTAGATTTTTATTTTTGGAAACTAAAAGAAAGCCTTGCAACCAATGGAGCAAATAGCTTTACTGGTAGGGATTGTATTCTAGTTAGTTTCATATTTAATGTCATAAAAGAATGGTATAACTTGCCTTGAGATATTTGGAGCAAATCCACCATCATCACCAACATTATACCCAACTGAACCATATTTCTCCATAATAATAGCCTGGAGTTCAGCCAAACCATGTGAAGAGCAGCCAGATTAGTTGAGGCTGGAAAATATATAGTGAAAACCAGAATAATCAAGTAGAAGAATCCTTTGAAACGGTACAATGAGTGAGGAATTAAAGAAAAATTCTAGAACTGCATTGCTGTAGTATATTGTAAGAAAACGAAACAAAAGGTTAAAAAAACCTCAAATTAACAATATCAACTATTTAGATAAAACATATTGCATGTGATGCTTGAAACACCTAAAACCAAGAAACAATAGTCAGATGCAGTAGAAAATCTGTCACTGAAACTCTACCTTCAAGAGGTTATATGAGCAAGTTGTTATTTTCAGAAGAATCAAATATTGCAAAAGAATAACATAACACTAAGAAGTTGATTTTGAGTACCTTTAAGTGATGATATGTTTCAGAACCCATCTGCATTGCTTCCTGAAAGCTATTTGCACCAACTGGAAGAATCATAATTTCCTGAAAGTGTAGTAATTGACAGTCAGTTTTTAACTTCTCACCAAATAAATTAATCAGAAAAAAAATTATGCCATGAGTTGATAAAGTTTTCAACATCAGAAAGAGGGAAATTTAAAAATAAAAATGCCAAGCAAGTATTTTGAAATGAAAGTTGATAAATCTTAGTCTGAACACATGGAGTGATATGAAAAAAGAATTTCTAGCAAGCACAGAACTGTTTCATATGTGAATCATTCAACAGTGCTAGTGCTATGTTAAACAGAAAGCACACTGAATTTGCATAAAAACACACTGAATTTAAACAAATGTGGGCTAAATTAAACATGGCTAATTGAATAACTTGATGCATCACTCTTTTGATTGGTCCAACTATGTTAAGATGTTAATAGCCTCTCATCCATACATATCAATTATCTAGCAAAAGAGAATTGGTCTCAAAAATCACGACTAATACAGGCAATACCTGAACAGCCAGATTGTTCTCAGCATGTTTTCCACCACTTATGACTGTGATGGCTGGAACAGGAAGAACTGGATTGCTTTTACCAGAAAGATCAGCAATATGCTTATACAATGGAACCTGAACATACAAGAAGAAATTGAACAAAGGTGTAGATAAATGAAACAGAAAATCCAACAGCCAAGTCAAAATTATATTGTGCCTCTTTTTCAGCAGCACCAGCTTTACAGGCAGCAATTGACACAGCTAACATTGCATTCGCTCCAAGCTCAGCCTGCAAAATGTAGCGTACTAATAATATCCTGCTTTTATCATAAGCATTCTGTAAATACAGACGAGATTATTAATAATGAAACAAGATACAAAATCCAATCCCTCAAATATGATATCCAGACAGATCAAGGGATCATCTGTTACCATGTTAAATGCTTAATGTCATTTATTCCCTAAGAAACATGAAAAATATATGAGTTAAGGATAAACATGTAGTAGCTAACAAATAAATTCTGCAAGTAAGAACAGTTATCCACTGGCAAAAGAAAGAAATCAAGTGGCTTAATACAAAAAACAAAGGCATTGGATGAAAATCAAAATATACATACAATATATAAATAAATAAAGGTTAAATGTTAATCTAGCAACAAAAGAAGAAAAAATCATATAAATAAAAAGCAACAGAATTAGGAATATCTCCAAATTAATAAAGAAAAATTGATGATAAGCAAGAGGACTCTACAAGACTACCAATTTTCAGCATGCAATCTTAATTATTTTGCTTTCATCATAACCATTCTTTTCCTTTCGTCTACTCAGTCCATTCATCTCTTTTCGAAGTGTAAACTTTCTCTTATGCATTTATCGCGCAAAATTGATCCAATGCTGTACTTGACGAACAAAAGAATGTCCTTTTCGAAGTGTAAACTTAATTGTCTGTATGATATTCTTTTAGCTGGTGATTTCTTTTCTTTCATTTGCCAAAAATAATTTCAAAGAGATAAATAACAATGATAATAGTCAAGTTACAAAGGTATAAGAAAAGTCTTTGATAAATAATAATGATAATAGTCAATTTAGAAAGGTAAACAAATAAAT